AACCACTGGTGGATGGACTGAACGTCGGGCTGCAATGAAGCTGTGGACTTTTCGCCGATGGGAGATTCGAAGTGTCCTTACATTAGCCCGGTACATGCAGTGGGGACTAGGTCGTGTGCAATGCTTAGGCAGGTTGGTTGATACCGTCGGTCACAAAGTTCATGCTAGTCGTTGATCACCCTATGTTTGTCTTGCCCTTACAGCAAGAAAGGTAAGGGAAGAGCAAGTAAGAAAGCTGCAGTGAAAGTATATTTCACTTAAAATAAATTCACACTAACATCTGTGTTGGTTTGACGGTTCAATTATTGTATCACAAAGGAAGATCACGCATTTTGAATACTTCGGCTACTAAAAAAATTCACAAATTTCGCCTATCATCTCACGCATTTATTGGCTATCAATATTTTTATATAGAGAGTAATGACAGCTTGAGACGTTGGGATTGATTATTTCTTCATAAACATTTGTGATCCGAAGTCTTTTTTGCGGCGGTCCGTTTATATCAGCTACATGTTAAAATGGGTGATGGTGGTTTTCGTTTTCAATCATTTTATTTCTCTTTCTAATTTGTCAGAAATGCCGCTAAATGTACATGGTAAGCTTACTATTCATGGGTGCTGTAGCTATCGATTGAACAAAAATCACCGAAGAGGTCAGGAGGTGCTTCCGGATACGGTATTAATAGCAGAACTTGTCTAGTGCATAAGCTGTTTTTTTGCAGCGGTGACTGCAGGTTCACGCCATTAGCTGGCTTATCCATCCAGTTGTTCGATTTCGGAATCAATCCTAACCTTGAAAAGTATTTTATACTGTCAGACGTCAGACTAATACTGAAGTATTACTAACTACTCTATAAAATTAAGTAAAAAGGTAGACAGCATTAGTGTAACATTCAGAGGGGTAACACAATTTTAATACGCCACATACCCGAAATGCAATAGGATTATTACTACACTGGTTCTATCGAAACTATAAAGCATTTTTAGAGGTTAGAGCGATTTTATTTGGCGTTCGTTAGGCTACGAGGTTAATACAAGCCTCAATTAGCAGAATACCCCCGCGCGATAACGAAATGCAAGCCTCAACCTAGAGAAGAGTTCAAATAATGATTGCTGTTTTGCTACTAATTCAACAAGTTAATTCTCGGGCTGTTACTTTTTATTAGCACCACCTTATTTCTTATATGGATCCTGTCTATTCCGTCACTTTTGCACCTGTTTACTGGTATTTTCACACGCACACACATTATATGGCACTTGATGTTCTCTTTTGTACGTTTTTTGTATGTTGTCACTTAGTCTCTGCCATAAGCATCCATTAACAATAAAAGTTAATGTGTAAACTCCTTTTTTGCTGCCAGGATTCGGCACAACGACCCCTCCAACTGGAAGTTGCTGACCACGGAGACGGCGTGTACACATGCGAGTACTGCCCAGAAGAGGCCGCGCCGCACTATGTGGATGTGAAATTTGGTGGTCGTGAGATCCCCGAGAGTCCATTCTGCGTAAAAGTGCATCCGACTGGTCGGCCGGACCTGTGCCGAATCGAAGGTGCCCACTTCATTGCTC